GAGGCAGCGGCATCCTCTCCACTACCCCTCTTCCATCTTTACAGTGGGCACATTGGGCCCAAGTAAGGAAGGAGAGGTTTTACAGGTGTATAACAATGTTGTCATCTAAGCACATTGGTGTTGATTACTGGGAGAGAGTGTGAGTGTATTCCTGATTGTTGAGGTATTTGTCTGCAGATATAAACCTCCCCTAGGGAAAAACTCTGCTTTCCCACTACTCTGAAGTTTCATACTGGACACCATGACCATATGTTTGGGGCCTCCCACACAAAGCAATTTTCTTCTATCCAGAGAATACTTAGTGTATGTCCTACAGGTTAATTCAACCCTGGCACTATCTATCTGATGATGGCATCAAATCTCACAGGCAAAGGATTCTCGCCAGAAGCCCTAGAGCCTTTCAGAGGCCAGTCACAGGGCAGGTTGTCCCCTGTGCTTCTGACAGACTGGCTATAAGCCCTAGACCCCTCCTTGGCTTTAGTCATTTGCTAGAATGGCTCTAAGAACCAAGGGAAATACTTTGCTTGTTAGATCACTCATTTATTATGGAAGGATTGAACTCAGCGAGGTTCATGGGAGCAGGCGCAGGGCTCCCATCCTCCTGTCCAGGGCTTCCACCCTCCCCGCACTGTCCACATGTTCACAAATACAGAAGTGTCTGAACTCCTCTACTTTGGGGATTTTTGTGAAGGAATAATTAGATAATTGGCCACTGGCAGCTGACCCACACTAGTCCCTCTCCTTCTCCTGGAGGCTGTGGGTGGGGTTAGATTTAAGTGCTAACTCAGGCCACTGGCTTGGTTCCCCCAGCAGCCAGCCCCCCCCATCCTGAGGCTAATCCTGGAATCCCCCTTCTTCCTCCCACCTGTCGTCTCATTAGCATACAAAAAGACACTTAGGTTTTGAGGGTTTTAGGAGTTGTGTACCCCAAAACTGGGATGAAGTCCAAATATGTATTTATTATATCAAAATATCACATCATTTTTGTTAGAATAGTCATTGTGAAGACCCTGTGCTAGGATCATCTAATTTTTTTTAGTTAACTAACAGTGAGGTTAGTACAATAAAGAAACGGGATTATATGAAGCAGCTATGCCTTTGGGAGGACAGTCTTCTGTAAATGACTTACTTTGGGTTGATAATAAAACTATTCCACTTCAATCATGTGACAAGCCTTCTCAAGACTCCAGAGATTATCCTATAATAGGACAAATGTTGAGGTACCATTGAATCACCTTTGTTGTGTAACATTTCGTCAAAAAAGAATTAGCTTCTTGTTGGAAAAAGCTAACTTCTAACAAGTTAGCTAACTTGTTAGACTACCTAACTAGGGAGTAAAATGAAAATGAAGAACAGTACTGAGTTTGAGCTGAAGCAGAGTGTGGACCCTGGCGCGCCCTCAGCCTGCCTCCTGCTGCTGGAGGCCTTGTCACCATCACACCCCCGGAGGAGTGAAATCCACAGTCACCATCCCCATCACCACAACCTTGGGACACAGCCCATCTGCTACCCCAGCAGTGCTGCCACCACTCAGTGCGACCCATAGGCAGACCCGAGGGGTATCAGGAGACTGGCGGCTACCAGTGAGGACAAGGCCATCATGTTGAAAGTTAGCGGAACAGTAAAATGGTTCAGTGTGAAAAACAAAGGGGTTTTCAGCCACAGGAATGTTACCCAACATTATGTGTTTATACACCAAACATAATGATATAAAAAATTATGTATTTGTACACAGAGAATAGCCCCCAGGAACAGCTCCACAGTACAGGGGATGGAGAAGCAGTAGGATTTGATTTTATTGAAGGAGAAAGAGTTGTGGAGGCAGCAAATGTTGTAGGTGCTGATGGTGTTCCAGCGCTAGGCAGTAAATACCTGCAGAGTATGATCATCAGAGCTATCACTGCTGGCATGAGAGCCCTCCCTTTGCTCATCAGGAAGATTCACAGGATGAAGAGAATGCAGAAGAAGAGGAATTGTAGGGTACCCTTGAATGCCGGGCTCAACAGTTACAGCTCATTTCACACCTCCAGGCATGATCCACAGTACCCCCGCCCTTCTGTGCAGCAAGAGATAAGGGAGAGTGCTGAGAGTCAGGGTGCAGGAGAAGAAGGTAGCTTAGAGACCATTTGTAGGAACTAGAGAACAAGATACCTTAGGGCTCTCCTTGACATGGATTGTTGGAGACCAGCTCCAACTTTTGAGGTATCTGGAGGCAACACAGGCAGGACCCTAAGATGGGAAGGTGTCGGCGAGCAGAGATTCCAAAAAAGGGGGGAGAGGAGCAGGCATGGTGAAGACACGGGAGTCAGGTTTGGGTGCAAGTCTTCCTGCTCATCTTTTTGCAAGTCTTTATTTATACTGTTTAGCAAGATTTAGTTACAATAATGCATTAGGTAAGTTAATAAGAAATAGGCATAAAAGTTTTAAAGGAAGAGGGGAACAATGCATCCTCTTCTTGCTACTTTATGGCACTCTAGAGTATACATCTTTGTGATGGCTTTCATATATACAGATGTTTGACTATGACTTTAAAGGATCAGGGTTTGGGAAAGGATGAGCTGTTAGCAAAGGATTTAGGAGTCCTAGTGAAGGAATAAATTGTGTTAGCAGAGTCATCAGTGATAGTCTAAAGAGAAGCTAATGGCTAACTTAAGGTTAGCAGAGAGTAGCTAGTGTTTGTTTTAGGAAGAGGTTAAATAAGACTAGCAGAGAGTAGATAGTTATTGTTTTAGGAAAAGAGTAAATTAAGAAGAAGTCACATAGTTATGCATTAAGCAAAACCTGTGTTGACAGTGTTAGGAAATTGTCCATGGGTCCTTATGCCCTGAGAGTTATCTAAGAATTGCTTTTTGTCAGAAGACCAAAGAAGCTTTCCAGGAGTCTTAATGCTCCGGGGTCTTATCTGTCCAGGAGCTTGCCTTTTGTCTTCAGTCAAAGGAATTTCCTGCCCAGGAGCAGCTCAGCTTGTACTTTGCCCAGGCCAGGTAGCCAATTTAGAGCGAAGGCAATCCAGTTACAAACTGATGTTGCTACAATATTTTTTGATTTTATGATTATACAAAAAAGGGAGGTCATAACATAAGTTAGCAGTGGAAATTCTGATTTTTTCAGAGCTTTTCCCAAGCTAACCGGAATCTGTCAGATGGTAGACGTTGCATAGCTTGTGTCAATGGATGGCAATGAAGAGGAGCAGGAAAACCAGAGATCAAGGTTGGCAGCCACTTCAACGTAAGTGGCCCTACAGTTTCAGTTACCAGCAAAGATGCCCAGAAAACTGTAAAACCACAGATGGCAAAGAGCCAAGCTGGGAACTCTGTTCCACACCAAGCAGGGAGAACCTGAGTATGTAGGGGCTTACCATTTCTGCCATCATCCTGATTAGTCATCTGACAAGATAAAGTGACTACGAGATGCCAGTGTTACCTCAAAAATGAAAAAATATATATAGAATAAAATAAAAAATTAATATTGAAATGGTAAGATAGGGGGTTTAAGTATTCAGGACGTACAGGTATGTGTTCATAAATTTGAATGATTTCTACTTAAAAAAGCAAGTAGATCGATAAGTAGTCACTAAATATCAAGTAATTAATTTGTTTCACTTTAAAAATGGAAAAATAAAACTTATGCACCTATTGTATCTGCAACAGTACCAAATGTATATGAAATGTGAACAAATACTGAAGAGTAAAATGCTGATATAAAAGTAAGTCATTTTTTTAAATGAACAATTGCTTCATATCAGGCAAAGTTGAGATTAAGAACTTCATTTTTACATTGTAAAAATGAACTTAATTTTCCACAAAAGTTAGAAAGCTACACATATCTATTTATATGGTTGTATCATGATAATAATGAACAGAAAGGCATTGACTTTAAGAATTATACTTTTCTAGATTTCATATATTATTTGTTAATCAACATCTTGTGAGTTTCATGGTGTTGAGACATTACAGAGCATTATACATACAGTGTAGTAAATGTGTAAATGTTCTTTTCTTTCTCTTTCTCATGTCACTTATTCCATTAAATGGTGAAATGAGATGAGGGAGCATTTCACCATTCTGTCCTTTAATGTTATTAACATGAAAACAAATATCGAGAGAAGTCTGAAATTTTCCTCGGAAGAGAGAACTGTAGGAAGTTTTCAGTGGTGATTTATGTTCTTTGCACGTTTCACTCGATTTTCCTTGGACACGTGTGACTCATGTCCAGCTACAGGGGAATAACGCTCCTCTTCAGTCATGGAATTGAAGGATTATCCAAAATTTTGCTGGGGTTCCTTTCCTAAAGGGAAAACTCTAATAAGAACAGAATGAGACTTTAAGACTTGTAGCTAATTATCTTAGTGGTATCATAGCCACAGCCCCAAGAAGCCAGCTCTGCCATCCATCACTGACTCATGATTAAGAGAAACTGTATCAGGGGTGCTGAGTGCCTGAAGGGATGTAATTACTTTCTCCATGATACCCAGTGCTTGAAATGATCTAAGCAAAAGCACTCTCCCCTCCGCCCTTCCTTCCTCTGCTGTGTGGCAAAATTAGTTGTATTTGTAGCAGCTAGAAATTCCCACAGCCTCGTCTTTGCAGGCAGATGGTAGCAAGACTGGCTTGAGGCTACTGGTGGTGCAAATAAAGGAGCTTGTGTTTTGTGCTGCCCTTGCTGGAAAACCCTTGCTTTGCCACCCCCCCGCATACCCCCCCCACCCCTTTCTCCATCAAAGGCCTAAGAAATGAGGTGTGATCAGTTGTTACGAGTGCCATAATAATCCCCAGAGGCACTACCCTACCTTGTGTGCCTGGTGCCTGAGCGACTTAAACCAGGCTAGATGGATGCTTAACTGCCTTAGAGGACGGTACAGTTGCTCCTAAAATACAGACCCTGTGGCTACTCTCTGAGATTTCTTTGGCGTCTCTTTGTTGTTGCAAATCAGCTGCATCATTATTTCCACACACTGTTTGTTGTTGCACAGAGCTGATGGTTCTTCTACTCTGTTTCAGGACTCATTGTCGGTGTGATCCTGAGGTATGGCACCCCTGCCACCAGTGGCCACGACAAGTCACTCAGCTGCACCCAGGAAGACAGGGCCTTCAGCACCTTATTAGTGAATGTCAGCGGGAAGTTCTTTGAATACACCTTGAAAGGCGAAATCAGTCCCGGCAAGATCAACAGTGTGGAACAGAATGACATGCTGAGAAAGGTGAGCTGGGGACATTATTGTCCTGACATGGTTTTTGATTTTCCAGTCCTGTCTGGACCTTGTAGAAAGAAACCCTTTCAGTCTCCTGGAACATGGGTACCATTCATGGCTCTCAGTTTTGCTAGCAAGCGTGTGGGATATGATGACAAGAAGAAACCAAATTTGAACTTTTAGTGTTCGATTCAGTCCAAACATTGTTTTTATATGATATTGTGGGTATCTAAACTATTCCACAGGAAAAAGGATTCTAAATCTCCTTACTTGAGTGACTTCCAGGGTAAGCAAGGAATTGGTATCTATCCATGTCCATTTTATCACCCTGTAGATGCAGGCTTAATGGCAGGAAGGCTTCTTTCTGTGTAAGGTCTGGAAGATTCAGGTTATGTGCAACCTCTTTTTTTTTTTTTTAAGACTTATTTACTTGCACATACAGAACTGGGGTACAGGCCAGAGGCTCAGGGGTGGCGAGAGGCTCCACCAGAGACAGAGTGGGGAGCAGAACAGGCAGATCGACGAAGTCCACTGCTGAGGGGAGCAGCGGGCGGGTCAGGAGAGGTCTGCCGCGCCATGTGGTCACCTCCGGGGCAGGCGGCAATCAAACTCATGCGGAAGTGGCTTTAGGTTCTTAGTGCTGTGCTTTAACCTGCTGCGCCACCAGGGAGGGCCATGTGCAACCTCTTTTAACATACCACAGCGATAATGCATAGAGAGGCTTACACTCTAAGGCAGAGTATAGATGGTGCTCCAAAAATTAAATTATTGTTCTCAGGATCTAACCTAGTCCTTGAAGAAAATTGCCAACCTGGGGCATCAAACATGTGTCCCTAATGGCTAGTAAGCTTTTTGTTCTTATCTCTTCATAAGAATACATGGGCTTGCCATAAACATTTGTGAAATTATATGCAACTGAGAAAGACCCCCAGTGCATTTGCCACACTAATGGCTGTTTTGAAATGGCTCCTTGAGTCCTTTAATCTGTACAGAATGGGCAGAGGAGAGGAGACCCCAATCCATTTCCATCTTTTACATTAGAATAGATGAAGTTGACTTTATTATCTTTACAAAAACATTTCTTGAGATCCTCCCTGTTTAAACCTTTGCCTCACAAAACAAAGGAGAGAAAATAAAGAAGGCTGAGATTGTTGTGAGTTAAGGGTGAGGCATCTTGAGTCAGCTTGGTTAACTTAAAGTGTATTGAGGGCCCTCCCTGGTGGCATTAACAGGGTAAAGCACAGCACTATGAAGCTATTCAAGAATTCGATCCCTGGCCAGGGAGCTGACCCACATGGCGCAGCAGACCTCTCCTGTCTCCCCGCTGCTCCCCTCAGCAGTGTATTTCAGTGGATCTGCCTGTTCTGCTTCTATTCTGTCTCTGGTGAATCCTCTCACCCCACCCCTCCCCCCACCTCTGGCCTATCCCCCAGGTCTTATGTGCATAAATACATCTTTTAAAAAACCATAAAAAGTATGAGTGGTAAAGTGAACATCAGGAAACTTGTGCTGGTCAGACCTTACTTGATTTGATAACTTCCCACAAGTTATACTCTCTGGCCCCAGTGTCCTCATATAGGTATTGGCCAACACCCCTCTGATTTTCGGACTTCCCTGCATGATAGTCTACTCTTCAGTAACAAGATAGACTGAAACATAATTTGAGAGAACTGTTTTGTTTCCAATTAGGGTGATTAACATTTCCAGTTTTTATAGAGAAGCACTATAAAAAACCCAAAGGTTTTGAATAATTGAAATAGAAGCCAATTAATCTACCAACACAAATTCTTTAAAAAGGTTAGGAGGCTTATGCAATGCTAATACTTGTCCAGATGTGATAAGCTTTTGCTGATACTTTCAGAATAATTTCCCAGTATCCACAGGTAATTCACTCTTGTTAGAGCTTCTGACTGTATGGTGATGCTAGAGACTTTGATTTAGCCACATCACATATTGCAGAATAGCAGTAACTCAAAAGATATTTGTATTTGAGGGAATTAGTTCTATAAATGAGTCTGTAGGAGGAGCCCCAAAATGAATGAAGAATCACAATTATATCCTTTATTGCAGTTGAGCCTTAAGTTTGATAAACATCGAGATGTTTTTCTTACTTAAAAACTTGGATCGACATTCAAGAGCCAAAGTATATATAAAAAAGTAAATAAGAACATTGATTAGAAACTTTCCCTGAGTTCTTAAAATTGCATTGGGCTGCTACATTAATTTTTTTCAGGATTAATTTATGCATACAGAACTGGGGTACAGGCCAGAGGTGCAGGGGTGGTGAGAGGACTCACAAGAGATAGTGGGGAGCAGGACAGGCAGATCTACTGAAATACTCGGCTGAGGGGAGCAGTGGGTGAGACAGGAGGGGTCTGCTGCTCCATGTGGGTCAGCTCTTTGGCTGGAGATCGAACTTGCCCTGAAGTGGCTACAGCCAGCTTCATAGTACTGTAAGTCAGCAGGGAGGGCCCAGCTGTTGCATCTGCATGTGTTGTTAGCAGCACACCTGGAGTGGAGGTCAGAGTGCCGTGTGGAAGGTCATACTGGGTCACTGAGGCACGGTGGCTCCTCTCCTGCGATGAGTCCATGGTTTTTCACATTTATGTTATTTGCTCAATGGCTTAAATTTTAAATTTTCTCAGTGGCTTAAAATATTAAGCAAATATTACTGAGATGGAAAAAAATGTACAAAATGATGTAAAAATAAACTGTTATAAAAAAAAAGTTAGTTAAAAAAAAGGGGGGGGAGTGAAAAATGGTTCCAGGCAGAGGCAGCCATACTGTTCATCTATATGCAAATAAATGCCTTTCTAATGTTAAAAATATATATATTAAGCAAATATTGCAGCAGCACTGATGTTAAATGGTTTTCTTTTTAAACATTTAGGTAACATTTGATCCAGAGGTATTTTTCAACATTCTGTTACCTCCAATTATTTTCCATGCTGGATACAGTTTAAAGAAGGTAAGAGGTTTTTGCCAGCATTTATTTTCTTGACTGATTTTTTTTTAAGTGTGGGAATATCTGCTAATTTACCTACATAATTTTGTAGTTTTTCCCTTCTCCCAGATTGCTTGTTACTCTGTTTTGCACCCACTCATAGTCTTTAGTTGACTCATCAGCAGTGATTCATTTCTGTTTTTAAAATCTGGAACTCTCATACAGTGGCTGTGGGAATATAAAATTATATGGCCACTCTCTGGAAAACAATTTTGCAGTTTCTATAAAACTAAAGCTGAAATTAACCATATGACCTAGTAATTTTGTTCCTGAGGATTTATGTCAGAGAAATGAAAACCTACATTCATGCAAAAACCTGTGCATGTTTGCTTATAGCAACTTTATTTATATATATAGCCTCAAAACAGAAAGAATCAAAATGTCCTACAACAGATGAATGGTCAAGTGAGCTTCCATACCACAGACTAGTGCTCAGCCAGCAATGGAATGGCCTTTGCCAGAACAAGCAGAGGAATATGCCCTTGATCCATATGGAATATGCTCTTGACCCTGGTGGGTCGCAGAGGCATTATGCTGAATGAAAATAATCCACTCTGCAAAAGCCACATATTGTGTGATTGCATTGATATAGCTTTCTAGAAATGAAAAAAATCATAGGATGGAGAAAAATTAGTGATACCAAGGGTTAGGAATGGTAGGGGTGAGAGGGGAGTGAGTGTGACTATGTAGGATTAGCATGAGGGGGATCTTCCTGGCAATGGAGGAGTTCTTAATCTTGAATACAGGGGAGGGCACATGAATCTCTACATGTTATAAAATGACTTGAAACTGTTCACATGTTTTGCAAATGTGTTCTGTTTCTGACACCATATTATAGTTTTGATATTTTCTGGATTTTCATATTATATTACTGTCTTGTAAGATATATCCAGTGGAGGAAACTGGCTTTAACATTACACGGGACCTCTTGTGTTATCTTTGCAACTTCTGTGATTTTATAATTACTCCAAAGTAAAAAGTTATATCTATTCTTACTGAGGGTCGTTATGCTTGGCAACAAGGTTGGGCCTAAGCCCCTAGTCATTTAAAATACCATTTACCTTTACAAATAGTGTTAGTGGTTCCCTTCCTCCCCTCTCTTGGGAGTTCTGTGAAAATTAGACTCCAAAAAGCCTCCCTTGGTTAACAGTCAAGGAGTTTGTTTCAGCTTTCCTTCCGAATGGGGACTAAAGGAAATTTTTTTCAGTGAGCCCAGTGAAGAGATATCTTAGCTGCCAATAAATTCAACAACACCCTTAAAAGACAGTGCTTTCCAAATTTATAAAACTTTAGATCCCTAGATCAAGAAGCTAAAAATGGAAAGAAACAAATCGCTTATCAAAACAAAAGAGGAGACATCCCTACAATGCTTTGAAAGATTCAAACGACCAAAACTGACCTGTGAAGAGATAGAAAACTTGAACAGCCCTATAGTAATGGAATAAATTGAGTTTATATTAAAGACATTTCCCCATGCCCCAGGAGCTTCACTGGTGAACTCATCAAATATTTAAGGAATAAATGATACCAGTCCTACATAAACTCTTTCAGATCATAGAGGACAGCATACTTCCTTGGCCATCTTATGAAAAGACATCTGCTCATAGGGTTGGTTCCTCTGTCAAAGAATAATTGGGTGTTTTAGTTTTTCAGAGAATTCTAAAACTGTTTTCAACCAACATAAATACAGTCACAGTTTATGGAGCATCTGATATGTGTTGGGAACTTTACATATAGTCTTTATTTCTGCTTTTACATACATGATTTCTCATCATCACAGAAACTCTGTAGAAGGTGAGGGTGGTAGATTAGTTTTCTCCTCCAGATGCCAACTCATCGATGAATAAGTAGACCCAGGAAGAGCTAACTGGTAATTGAATGATTGATTTATGATCAACAATGTCAGGTAATGCATACTGGATGGTGCAGCTTAGCCCTTCTTAGTAGGACTCTTTTATTAGTTAGCTCAGAAATTGAAGACAGATGCCCTTAACTGCCAAATTGAACACAGTCAAAGGCAGGGAGGCCGAAATGAAGAGATGTTGGGAATTTCTTGGCTTGTCAAAGGCTGCTTTGCTCACAGCATGGAGCATAGAGGAACAAGAACAATCCCCCCGCCTGTTACAAAAAGTCGAGATTGTGAGTCAGGGTCAAGCCAGTCTCTTCTTTCAGAGATTAAGTGACCATGCTTACTCCATCACCTTTGGAGGAGGAGGAAAGAAGCAAAAGTCCTGACTTCACATGAATGTGTGAGGAGCAAAAAGCTGCATGTACTAGCTCAACACACATTTGTACACTCACAGATATGCAGAGTCTCTGCCTTTTACTGATGATGAAGCCAAACTCAGTATGACTAAGTGACATGTGTGAGGTTAAGTAGCTGGTGTGAGACTGAGTCATGATCCTGTCTCATGGCCTGTCTGTCTGACCCCAGGGCCCAGGGTTATTCCTTTGTGCTTCACTCCCTCCGGAGTTAGGCTTTCTGTTAAAATATAGGTATATTGATATCGATATAGATACACACACATACACACACACATCCGTTTTGTGACTAATCTCTGGGTTGTCAAAGTCATCTGAGCCTGTATGTCAGCTATTGACTTATAACAGATAGGATGATTTTATGAGTATGGCCCACTGCATGATTTTAGGGGGATCCATAATGGTACTTTTTTCTCTTCTTTTGTGACTAGCTTGCTTGCTTATCTATTTACTTAATTGAAATAACTCTACATTATAACACTAAATAATAATATTCCTTAAGTGAGGAATTAGAGAACTCCCCTTCAAATCAAATGGGGGGGGTGAGTAATTGGGTATTTTAAGTAACTAATCTTGAGGTACAGTGAAGGTCATACACAGTGGATTGAAAATGAAGCTGTTATTGGTTGTGAAAGACATTCTGCTGGCTGAAAAGCAGCTTTGTCTTTGCAGAACTGCCCCTTTCTCACCTGAATGTTCTCAGGAGAAAATGAACCTGAAAGATTTTACTAGTTACCAATGTAAGTTGTTTTTGAAATAGCAGTCTTTCAGATTATCAGCTGTTAGTCTCTTTCCCCTATAAAAGGATTTTAAATAGTAGCTTCTTACGTGGTTGCCATCTAGGATTAAACCTCTTGTCAGTTAAATGTGCAATAAGGAGTTGACCATTTAACTTCAGGTCTGTGGACAGGCTTATTCAGGTCCTTCTGACTTGTATACATATAATTGTCATGCAGACATGGGCCTTTTTTTCTAACTTGAACAAAGCATTAACATTAGCTTGTGTTCTGTGTTGGTACTTACAGTTTGCTTGAGGGGCACTGGCAGGGGGAGAGAGGGAGGGAGAGGGAGGGAGGGGCTTTAGAATATATTATTAATGTATTTTTGGTGGCATTTATATTCCTATTATTTTGCTTTGGATAGTAACATGAAAGTGAATTTGCTTAGTATGTTCAAGCTAACCATAATGGATTTCTAAAAGACAACTGAAAAGAAAGTGCATCTGGAATTAAAATTGATTCCTAGATACCCCCTATGAATTTCATTGGCCCTATGTCTTGTCCCTGGTCTCCCCTAGTCTGCGCTTATTTTCACTTGGTAGAGCACTAGAAGGCAAGAAGTCTCACAGTTGTTGATTTTTTTCAGTGTAACTAGTTTTTTCAAGACATTGGTATGTAAATACATTCTCTTGAAGACTGGGGACAATGACCAATGAAGAGGCAAATGTGATATATCTACATGTGTACAAACAGCACCCTCATTTGGTGACTGTCAGCATGGCAAACCCTTGAAGGCCTGTGTTGGTGGCTTTAGGGCACTAGGCATTCCTGGACACCTTCACAACTCCAGAGAGGTGCAGGCATCAGGAGGCCACAGCCCAGGTCTGGAATGCTGGCCAGGGGACCCCACAGCCCTTTGTCAGAGTGGATGCTTGATCCAGGCAGAGTTCTCCTTCCTGGACTGTCTTTCCTGGTATCACTTGGCTGTCAGGGTAGGGCTGTCCTGCCTTTTTAATTTTAGATAAAGTATTCCTGGTCCTTATTTAGTGAGGGTGTTTGGGGCATTGTGTTTGTCTGTTTTTGTCTAATGGTTCTGATGGTCAGATCAGCTTATGCTTGTAAAGTAAGGACCTTGGCTCAGGAGCCCAAGGACAGTGCTTTTCCACATCAGCATATCCAATAACCTTAAAGACGTGCACGCGTGAGCATGTGTTTGTGTGTGTGTTTAAGGGTTACCGATGTATAAAAACATCGAGAGGATTACAGTTTTGCCACCTCATTTTGAATAATTACTAGATGTTATATTGGTGTAAGTATACAAACACACAAACAAATACATACACGCACACTTGCCTGTCTGCAATAGAACTATTTCTCATTTCTTCACATCTCTTTGCCAGGTTCCAGAAGATGAATTCACATGAATATGAGGAGACACCTCAGATTTTCAGGGAACTGTTTTCTGACACTGAGTTAACAAGAAAGCTTCTTAGATAGCACTTTCATTCTTCATTAGTGTCAGACTTATATATGTAATGATCTTCTAAGGCACCAAAAGAACTGGAAGTGACTAACTGAATCATTGGAATAAAAGGTTTAGGTTAAATCTTATGAAAATGATGGGTTTACTGTTATAGTCACTCATTCTCTCTCTCTCTTGTTATCAGCCAGAATTGTTTCTTCTTTTGAAATTTACTGAGCCCTTGCTTGCTCAGTGATTATTAGTGCAAAAATGTTTAGAACCATGATGTTCAATGCTAAGTAAATTCATTCAGGAGTAACTGATAAAAAACAGTAACTAAGGCTTCATTATTTAAAGACTTTTAGCATGTTTTGTCTGCTCAGTGTCAAAAGTCACCGTGTGATTCCTGTCCTCTTTTTTTAGAGACATTTTTTCAGAAATCTTGGATCTATTCTGGCCTATGCCTTCTTGGGAACTGCTGTTTCTTGCTTCATTATTGGGTAAGTGACTCTTGGACCGATAGCAAAATCAACCACTTGCCAAATAGATGAGACCCATGTGAGTTCAGAGAACAGTATTTTTTCTCAGCTGTAGTGGGATGAACATATAATACCATGCAAGTTTAAGGTCTAAAACATACTGATTTGATATTCATATACTGCAAAATTATTATCACCATAGCATTAGCTACCACTTCTATCTCGTTTTTAGTGGTGAGAATATTTGAGATCTGTTCTCTTAGCAACTTTCATATATATGGTACCATGTTATTAGCTATGATCATCACGCTGTGGACGTTAGATTACCCCAAACCCATTCATCTATACCTGGAAGTTGGTAATCTTTCACCAACAACTCTCTCTCCTCTCCCCAACCCTTGGCAACAGCTGGAGTCCAGTATTTTATTTGTGGAGATGGGGTTCAAGTTCTACAGCCACAGTGTGTGTTATGGTAGCTGTCAGCCATATGTGACTGCTTAAAATTAAGAATAATTAAAATAATATTTTACCTAGTCAGGAAATTTTGATTTCTATTACTCTGATGAAAAGAACCAGAACCTCTGGCAGAAAAGGCTGACTGTAAATCCAGGACAGAAAATATAACAAGATGAGGGTAGAGCATCTTGTAGTGCTCAAAAGTGAGGAAGTACTTAAAAAAAAAAAAAAAGAAGGAACCAAACAAATAAATGGATGGTGGGATATGTCCAAGAGACACAGAGCCAACCTTCAAGCTTCCACAATGATCCAGGAACAACAAAATCATTGACATACTGGGCCGGCACCCAAAATATAAAATTCTACTAACATGTACTGGTAATATCTGAGGGCCTATTAATGTGGAGAAATGCATGGATGAATAACTAAATGGTGGAGAAATGACAAATCTCCTGCGCAGAATTCCAAGTAATTTCTGTAGATACACTCCCCCTCAAGGAGGTGGTGCTTACCCTCAAAGGCCAAGGTATGGAGAGGACAGAGAAAGGACTGTAGAGTAGAGAAGAGAAAAGGGACAAACATTGCCAGCCAAGTGATCAATGTTAGCACTAACAGTGTAAGTCATGTTGACAGCCTTGTGCCCTTGATATTTGTTATTAGAATGGCACTTTACCTCTGGATCTTCTTCCTCAAACCTCCTTATCTCAGTCTAATTGTGAGAAAAAAACCAGATAAGTCCCAATTGAGGGTCAGTCAATGGAACACCTGACCAGCACTCCAAAACTGCCACAGGGATCAAAAACAAGCAGGCTGCAAATGATCACAGCCAAGAGACTGGAAGGTCAGGCCACTGGAAGTATGCGGTACCACGTGCTGGGACAGAAAGAGGACATTAGGTGAAGAAAGACTAAGGAGATCTGAATAAAGTACAGGTTTTAGTTCATTTTAAAAAACAGCTGGAAAAGGCCCTTCCTGGTGGTGCAACGGGTTAGGGCACAGCACTACAAGCTAGCCACAGCTGCTTCAGTGCCAGATCAGTCCTCACCCTGGGGCTGATCCACATGGCGCAGCAGACCTCTCCTGTCACCCCACTGCTTCCCTCAGCAGTGTAGTTCATCAGTCTGCCTGTTCTGCTCCCCACTCTGTCTCTGGTAAATCCTCTTACCACCCCCACATCCCTGGCCTGTACCCCAGTTCTGTATGCATAAATAAAATAAATCTTTTAAAAAATAGCTGGGAAACTAGAGATAAAGTCACGAGATTTTTATACCACTAAAAAAAAGGAGGGTGCGGCCCTCCCTGGTGGTGCAGCAGGTTAAAGCACAGCACTAAGAAGCTAAAGCCACTTCCGCATGAGTTCAATTCCCGCCTGCCCCGGAGGTGACCACATGGCGTGGCAGACCTCTCCTGACCCGCCCGCTGCTCCCCTCAGCAGTGTACTTCCATGATCTGCCTGTTCTGCTCCCTACTCCATCTCTGGTGAATCCTCTCACCCTCTGCAACTCTGGCCTGTACCCCAGTTCTGTATGAATAAATAAATAAATAAGGAGGGTGCTTAGATGTTGTCCTGTCATGGGGACACACCATGAACAAGTGACAGGTTAGATACCTGGCATTAGGGTGATGGAGGTGGGAGGAGGGAAAGACTGCCCAAGAGGTCTGTGCCATGGCTAAGCTTCTGGCAGAAGGAAAGAGAGGAAGATCTTATTTGAGGAAGAATTTAAAAGGTGGATAAAAGCAACCTTCCATAGGCAGCAAAGGACTACTCAAGTCTGCATCACTGAGTACTTGTGAATTGCAGTTGTGAGCCGCAACAGAGCTGTTCTACGTGGCTGGGACGGTAGCCTGCAGAAGCAGGCAAGCATTAGTCATCACTGCTGCGGCTCAAAGATTCGTTTCTGCAAATACTTCTTGAGTCCCTAACGTGGTCAGTCTACTGCTCTGCGCACTCAGGATACAAAAATGAGCAATGTCCTTACCATCCAGAATCTTACTGTGAGTGGGTAAAGAGTGTGTAGGGTAAAATGAGCCTAATCCCTGCAACTACCACCACGTCCCCTTCCTACACACTCGTAGTAATATGTACGAGGCCTTTTAAAATTCCATACATCTCCCAATTTATATTTATAAGCTGTCATACAGGAAATATGTTCTGGCCAAATTGAAGTATTTTTCTTGGTGGTCCCTCTTGGGCCACGTCATACTCTGCACAAAGTGAGATGGGCTCTTGCTGACCTGCCTGACCCAAGCAGAGAGCAAGTGGCCAGCAAGTCAGTAGGCACCCTGACATCTGAGGATGTTTGCGGAGTTTTGCCTTTTCCAGTCTTTGATAGGACTCTTGGTAGCGAAGGTCAGTCATTTGGATCTTTGTGACCAATCCATTTTTTTCTAGCCAAGATCACCCAATCCACTTATTTCCATGAATTTAAATGTGCTATCTAACAATGTTGTGAGTTTTCTAACAATTTCTTACATGTTTTGCAAGGTTGTTTCTCTTCCTTTCCTTTCAGTGACTCAATTACTTAGGATGCCTTAACTAACTGCTAAGTAAGTTAACTTATTGCTAAGTAAGCTAACTAGTTGCTAATCGAGGACCAAACCTTGAAGTTGCAGTAAGCACAGCTTTTCAAAATGGAATGTTCTGCTGTCTTGGCAAATGACATCAATTGCGAAGTGTGACATGGTGCCAGAGTCCCACTTGCACACGTTCCTGGTCAGTGTCCAGTCACCGCAGCTGCCCATTGTCTCCACGAGTCTCTTTGAGACCACACTGCGCCAGTGCTGCTCTGCTGTGTGTTTGCCGGATTGCTCAGTGAGAAGGATTTTCTTTTTTGTTTTTCTCTTTCTGACATGGTTTCCCTTCCCTTGCTGTAGGAATCTCATGTATGGTGTGGTGAAGCTCATGAAGATTGTGGGACAGCTCTCAGATAAATTTTATTACACAGATTGTCTCTTTTTTGGAGCAATTATCTCTGCTACTGACCCAGGTATTTGCATATTTTGTTCTATATTATGTTACTTCAATCCTCAGAAGTTCAGAGCAGTCATTCGCTTTTGACGAAGCAGGGAGGTTGTAGTGTTAACGTGAAAAGCTAGAGGGTCCGGGAAGTGGTCTGACAGACTTTGTGTCTTTTCTATGAAAGGTATGTGTTTCCCTTTCTTCTTCCTCTTCTTTCTCTTCCTCCTTCCTCTTTAGTACTGTATTTATTGTGGTAAAGACAACATAAAATTTATCATCTTAGTAATTTGTTAAGTGCACACTCTGGCATTATTAAAGATGGCTACACTGTTATGTAGCCAATCTGCAGAACTTCTTCATTTTGCACTGTTGAAGCTGTAGAGCATTAAACAGCAGCCTCCACTTGCCCTACCCCCAGTCTCCAGTAACCCCAGTTCGACTTTCTACACCTTTGGGGTTTGTTTTCCAGCTTTTTATTATGAAAAGTCACTTAGCAAAGATAAATGATTTTTACAATAAACTCATGCACTCATCATGAAGGTTGTGTTAGTGAGATTATTTTACTATATTTGGTTTATCAGGTATCTGTCCATCTATAATTCTGCCCATTATACTTCTTCATGCACTTCAAAATAAACTATAGTTCTAAGTTTCTCAGGTTTTTATTTTAAAGTAAGATTTGCAAATGCAATGAGAAAATTGTTTTTTTTCCATACACCTAACCTTTGTCCCTGCCCTGTCCCTCTTTATTTGTTATGTGAATTGGCATGGTGTTGGTTCACAACACTACACGCTCCCCCTCTGCAGATGCATGTCTTCGCACCACACAGCCCCAAGATTCCTCCGGGACCGTCCATTGGGTCCCCCACTTTGCGCCCACCCTCTCCTCTCCTTCTGGCTGCCTAGTTCTACAGTCAGATTTCCAGAGTTTGTTTAGCTTGGTTTTGTCTGTTTCATGTGGCATTGTTTTTTATATTATGTGGATTTATTTCTGGACTTCCAATTCTGTTCTGTTGATCCTTTTGTCTGTTTTTATCCTGATATAATATTATTTTAACTGCTGTTGTTTTATAATGTAGTTTAAAATTAGGTTAGCTGATGCCTCCATTTTTTCCTTTTCTTCAGGATTTTATTATCTGTTCAGGGTTTTTTATGGTTCCTTATAAATTGCAGGGTTTTTTTTGGGGGGGTTCTATTTCCTTGAAGACTACTGGGGTTTTAATGGGGTTTGCATTAAATTTATATATTGCTCTTGGTAAAATAGTCATTTTGACAATGTTAACTTTCTCCATCCATTAACATGTCATATGTGTCTGTCTCTTTATGTCTTATTCTCTGTCTTTTGTGTCTCATAGGTTCTTTCTTTCTTTTTTGGTGTTGTATAAATCCTTTATCTTGTTGGTTATGTCAATTCCTAGGTATTTAGTTGTTTTTTATGCAATTATTAGTGGATTTTTTCTTGACTTTATTTCCTTCTCATTATTTGTATATAAAAATACAATGGATTTTTGTGGGCTAATTTTGCAGCTTGTCACTTTAGTATATTCATTTATTATTTGTAGTAGCTTTTTCTTAACTTTCAGGAGGTTCTACATATTAACATACCATCTAGAAGTAATGATAGTTTCACTTCTTCTGAACATGACCTGAGATACTAAGAACCACCCCTGCCTCCACTTCTCCGTGTTGCTTAGGATCCCTCTAGCTCAGTGTTATCCCCTACCCCATACTGCAGCCTTTTTGCAGTCATAGAAATGTTCTATGACTACTTCATTATGGTGGCCATTAACCACATGGAGGAAAGTGCATAGAACAACTGAATTTTCAATTTTACATTATGTTATGTAATTTAAATTTAAAAAGCCTCATACAACTAAGGCTACCACAGTGGATAGCACAGCTTTAGGCTGTTGTGTGGTTATGAAGAATCCCAGTGTTCCAAAACCATTGGCCTCTCTTACCCCCATATTTTAATATAAACAGTCTAAGTAAATTGAGGACTCAGCTGATTGAAGCACCCCGTTTTGTAAAAAGAATGTGGGATGTAGAATGGCAGGCAGAGGTTTTATTTCTAACCCTGGCAGTCACTAACTGGGAGGCATCCTTTACCACTCCCAGATCAGTATCTTCATCTATCATGTAGGAATAATAGTAACTATTTCTCTTGGGGTATTGTTAAAATTCACCCATGAAAAATATCGAGCATAACATTTGCTAATTATGTCGCTTTCAAGCCACATGTGACTGAGGTAGAGATTTCTTCCTTTTCCCCATTAAAAAAAGAAAAAAGCCCTCCCTGGTGGCGCAGCAGGTTAAAGCACAGCACTAAGAACCTAAAGCCACTTCCGCATGAGTTCGATTCCCGCCTGCCCCCGGAGGTGACCACATGGCGTGGCAGACCTCTCCTGACTGCCCTCTGCACCCCTCAGCAGTGTACTTCCTCAGTCTGTCTGTTCTGCTCCCCACTCTGTCTCTGGTGAAGCCTCTCACCGCCCCTGAGCCTCTGGCCTGTATCCCAGTTCTGTATGCACAAATAAATTAATTTAAAAAAAGTAAGTAACAGATCATCAATTAACACTCTGAAAAATAGTTTTGTTGTTTTAAAACTATAGTGCTTCTGACCATCTCAGATGCATGTCTGTTGAGAAGTAGATTCTTCATAAATTTGAGGGAGGCATTTAATCTCTAGAAATTGACCAACTAGGGTCACCTATGGTTTTGTTACTGACTTCCTTCTTGTAGCACCAGTAAGCATAGGGAGGGTAGCAAGTAGGTCCCTGCAGGCTGGCTGTGTCCTTTGACCGAAGGTCACAGCTCCTGGCAGGCAATATTCACACACAGCTCCTGATTCTGGTAATCACTCTTTTTCTATCTTTTGGTCTAGGGATTGTGCAAAAGCTCCCTGTTTTCAACCTCAAGTAGTGTTCTCTCCCTTGTGTTTTTCCATACTCTGCTTACACTCCTAGAAATAATCCTTGTATTAAACTCTGTTCAAATTATTCAATTTGAGGGTGTCATCTTTTTCCTGCTAAGAGCCTGATTGATGAAGTTTTTGAGACCCAGGTGTCCTGGGCTGCCAGTCCTGTGCTCTGTTGGTTGAAATCAGCCTGCACCAGTCTTGAGTCCTATGTGACGGATGCGCAGAGAGGCCTGTGGTGCCAGCCCCTGTAGATCTCTATGAGTACTGGGTAAAACTTTGCTTGGATTTAACCAGTGACCTGTGGGGAATTTTGACAATTCAGCATAGAGCAGCCCATTGCACAGGCTTGTTTTCCCATCTCTAAATCAGAGCAAATGGACTACCTTTCTTCTAGGATTTTATGGGTACTAAATGAGATTGTAAAATACCTAGCATAGTGCCTGCTTCGTAAGCCTTCAATGATTGTTGTTGTTGTTATCATTGTTCATTTCCTCCAACATAATTAAAACAAAATAATTCCTGTCATATACTGGCAGGCTACTGGGTTAAAGGTTTTGTATTAATCCAGGTTCTCCAGAGAAGCAGAACCTTATATATGGAATGGGGAAGAGGGAAAGAAGATAAAGTGTGTGATCTTGGAGATTAAAGCAGTCAGCTCATGTTATTGTGGAGGCTGCAAGTCCAAAGCTCTTCAGGTCCACAGCCTCAGACCAGAAGGGCTGGTGGTGTCAGTTCCAGTCAGGTTCAAAGGCAGGAGGAGACTGTTGTATGTACCAAGCAGCGAGAGTGAATTCCCTCTTACTCAGCCTTTTTGTTCAGTTAGCAGATTTTCAACAAGTTGGATAAAGCCTGCTCACATTGGGGGGATAATCTACTTTACTCAGACTACTCATTCTCATCTAGAAACACCCTCAAAGACTTACCAGAATAAGGTTGAACCAAATATCTGGGTACCCTATGATCCAGTCAAGTTAGCCACCAAATTAATCATCATGGATTATATATAAAGACCCACACATATTGTTCACGTGATAAATAATCTAAAATATAAACAATACAGAAAGTAAGAATTTTTTAAAGCTTAATTCCTAAAGATTATTTCCTGTTATGTAACCTGACAAGTAATTGTAGGGTGAAGACGGCCTGTTTTTTAGGAGCTATAGTTGCTGGCAATTCTCCACCCCTTGATGTCTAGCTAGTATCCAGATGCTTAGAGTAGTGATTTTAGCCCCAGATTTATAGTAACCTGAAGTTGCCTCATGATATATTCCACATTTTTCAAATCTGAATTACCTGATGCTTATTCTAAGTAATGATGGAGTGTGTTGTTTTGGAATCTCCCTTAATACCTAATTAAAAAAAATAAACAATGTGGGACAGCAAAAGAAAAAGACACAGAGACAAAACTAGCTGATAGAGTATCCCAGGGAATCCCCAAATACCAACTTGGTGAGGGAGGATAACCACCAGCAGCATAGAAACTCAGAGATGGGAAGGGCAGCTGTGCAGGAGGAAGAAGCAGAGGGGAGAAAGTGGGGCTGTTTGCTGACTCTTTTGTCGTGGAACAGATATTTCCCACCAGCGTTCACACTCAGAATGAGGACTTCCCCTAGAAAGAAAGAACTTTGTGGGCAATGTCTTAACAGCCAAAACTGGGAGGGACTTTGCAGACTCATTCTTGTGAGTCCAGGGAGACCCACTGAAGCTGTCTCTGGAAGGACAGAGCCACTCCCTATAAATGAACTACTAGTATCATGGGCCCTGATAGACAAGACATTGAAGGAGAAAGAAAGCAGATATTAATGGAGGAGAAAATCAAAGGAAAAGTATTCTCCAAAAAGTATTGGAGAAGTTGCTACATTCTGAGGCCATATTGTCAATACTTTAATGTGAAACCAGAAGAGGGAGCCCTAGAGTCATGAAACTAGGGGAGCCTTCTGAGTCTGGTCCCCACTACTCACCTTATTTGATAAAAGCCACAGAAATGGATTGAGGTGGAACTTCAGAACACCACTAAGAAAAAAATGGGAATAAACCCTCTGAAAAATAAAAGTACACATAAGGAAGTCATACCAAAAATAGAGGACCCAAAAGCAGATGAATATGTAGTCATATTCAAAAGAAGCTATAGGAAATTAAGGAAATGACAGGAGTTATAAAAGAACTCACACATCAGTATTGGAAAATTCAGAAATGAGAAAACCAAAACCTAGGGTACTGTGAAAAGAGAGCTAAGAGAAAGGAATGCAGGAGAAATGTATGTGGAGTAAGAGAGATGTAAAAAAAAGTATTTAAAAGGTAATTTTAAAATGGGTAAGAATCAAAGAGTAATGTCAGGGAAAATACTTGGATAATCGAACTATAAGGAAATGCAAGGAAACAATTACTGTACAAGGTTTGTGGTTACTTTGAAGCAGAGGAAATGGTTTGAAATTGGGATGGAATGTAATGGGCGGGTGGGGGGGGGACTTCTGATTGGGGCTCAGTTCCATTCCTTTAACTGCATGGTGGTTCTAAGAGTGGGTGGGTGGTTCACTTATAATAACTCTCTAAGCTAAATGCTTGGTATAGTTTTCTAATTGAGTCAATAATGCTTTGGGCTGCAATAACAGAAAAGGCTGGCTAACACCAGCTTAAACAAAGAGCTGCTTCTCTTGGCTAATGACCCCCAGCTGGTACCCCAGCACCCACCACAGTCAGGCATCTGTCTTTCTACTGCCCACAATTGGGTTTGCACACATTAAGTGTCCCCTGGGCAGAAGATGGTTACACTTATTCAATCTCTCCACCCTCTTCCCGGCAGGAAGAGGATAGTGCTCACTGCTTGGAAACTTGGAAAGTGAGTTTTTAGTTTTTAGTCTTTATTGGTAAAAACTAAACAAAGTAGAGAGACATTGTCGGGGCAGGGAGGAAGAGAGAGAGAGAAGTGGTGCTTAAGTGGGGGTGATTTTATCCTGGAGACATTAGAGGGGACATGCAGTGCTGCTGGTGTCTTGTGCGTGGAAGCCACACCTGCAGTTCACAGAACACCTACAGAAAGAATCACCTGGGCCAGACTGTCAGGAGAGCCTAAGCTAAGAAATTCCAAAGCCCTTATAGGGGTCTGCAAGATCAAAACTGATTCAGTAACGGTAGTAATAAATGATTTGTTATTTTTCACTAGCATTGTCTTACAAGTGTTCAGTGCAGTGGAGGTCTCCAGAGGCTCTGTAACATGTGATATTGACTTACCTGTTGATTGAATACAGAAACTGCTCTAAAAACCATGTCTTTCTTTAATCCAGATATTAAAGAAATTTGAAAAACTGTAAAGCAACGAATCTCTTCTCACTAATTTTTGTTTGTTTTAGAAAATATAATTTTTCATTAATAGGTTAACATAATGGGTTTATTATTAATTTTAAATGAATATATATTTTTCATTTAATATAGTTGGTATTGGTAACAGTAACCCCCCCAAACTGAAATTCTTTGGAGGGCTCAATAATTTTTAAGAGTATGAAGGAGTCCTGAGGTCAGAAGAGCTGTTGATATCGGGAAAAGCTGCTTTTTTAATTCCTAAAAAAGCTGGGATTCTGAGCAAAGTGTCATCACACACTGTCTGTCATAAGTGAAGACTCCCTCTGCTCACAGTTATTGTTATTTATTATAACCTGTGTGCCCTGACCCCATGCTGGGTTCTGGGAGCACAGTGGTCAACAAAATTGGATTTCTGCCATCAAAAGTGCGGCCAAGCCGCATGAATTGTGGTTCCTTTTAGGTTCTAGAATAGCGGTATTGTCAGTGTGGAGGAAGTCATACCAAAAATAGAGGACCCAGTGATCAGTGCAGTGTTTTGGAACAGTGCTGTTACAGTCGAGCATCATAGGACGCCTCGTTCCGATCAGGGAGATTGCCATTTTCTGTTGCTGCCATAGACCGACGATCCATCGTCGACTGTCAGTATCTTCCCAAGCCGCTAGGTTCCACTGAAGACAGGAATTGCCTCTGTAAATGTGTTATCTGTGGCTTAAGGCCAGAAACTCAAACGAATTTCATATGCTTTTGGCCCCCTTTGCAGTGACCGTGCTGGCGATATTCAATGAGCTGCATGCAGACGTGGACCTTTATGCACTTCTCTTTGGAGAAAGTGTCCTAAATGATGCCGTTGCTATTGTGCTGTCCTCGTAAGTACATTTCTGTCTGAGGAGAGAGACTCTGGCTTCCTTAACGCTGGACTAAGTTCCGAGACTGTTTTTGAAATGTTAAATATTGAATTGCATGTTTTTATAAATGAGATTTGTCGACTTTGTTGATCAAGTTATGTTGCTTTGCATAGTTGGGAGCAATCTGAGCCTGGGTGGCAATGTCTCATGGTGACTGCAGAGCAAACCAGCAGAGGGAATCTCAGCAGTTAGATACTTGTGTTTGGCAATACTTTTAGGTACCTTGGGGTAAAACCAGTACGGTCTTTAAGAACTCTGTTTCTTTTTAAACTCCAGGTCTATTGTCGCCTACCAGCCAGCAGGGCTGAACACACACGCCTTTGATGCTGCTGCCTTTTTTAAGTCAGTTGGCATTTTCCTGGGCATTTTTAGTGGCTCTTTTACCATGGGAGCTGTGACTGGTGTTGTGACAGCTCTAATATCCTTTTTATAGTTGTCGCCCTTGCTTGGGTATGACTATGTGCCTTTACACTTACAAAAGGAAAGTTTTCAGTTCTTCCCCATCCGACTCTTAAATCAATTATTCCATAGGAGAGTGGGGGTGCTCCTGAAATATATCCCATTATTGAAGGTGACAGTCAGGTTCTAGCTGAGCATCTGAGAAGATATCTGGGAGTGTAACTCTAGGCTTTATTCTCTCCTCCCCTTTTCAGTTTCGCTAGCTCCTTATGAACCAGCTGAAGCTGGGCGTTCAGGGAAGAATCGTTTTTGGGGAGGTGGGACTCAGTGGTGAGCCTGGAGGGGGCTGGGATGCAGAGACTACCTCACAGCAGGGCAGGAGGAAGCAGTGGGAGGTACTTTAGCCCCAGCTTGCTGCTGCTGTCAGCGCCTCAGGGCCACACAGGCTCCAGTCGCCAACACTCTCAGTGATCATCAATGGGATCTACAGCAAAGTGGCCGTCTTTAGGAAAAGGACTGCATAATGCTTAGTTGGAAACAAGCAAGCAAGCATGTATGTGCTTACATGCACATGTGGAAGGAGCAGGCACCCCCTCATCGTATATTCTTTCAGGAGCATTTAGATTACCACTGTCTAATACAATCATGACAGACCCTACAAATGCAAAATCATTTCAGCCTGCAGTCAATGTAACTTTCTTAACAAGACATTGTACTAATTATTAATGAGATTTTATACAGCTGAGATTTGCACTAAGTCTTTCAAGCATAGCGGGTGTTTGCTCCTATAGCACAACTCAGTTCGGGCTAGCCACTGTGGCTTGTGGCTGCTCTGTGCCCACATTTTGATCTTTCTTCACAGATATCTTTCCGAGGCCTTGTGGGCTAGAGTGCCCAGTGAACCCACTCCTTAGACGGTTCTGTGATGGCCTTACAGGAAATAGCAGTTAGGAAAGAATCACTGCTCCCAAAAGGTGCTATCAGCACCTGGTAGCTGCTCCCTGTGCCTTGTCTTCCCAGGTCTATCTAAGACACTTGCAGCACCCTGGCACTCACCTGCCCATCATGCCTGTAGGCCAAGACTGTGCCTTTCACAACCAGGGGCATTGCAAGAACCGTAGAAAACCAGCTTCCAGTTCTCTAGAAATTTTATTTTTTTAGAAGAGCTTTATTAAAGTAAAATTTGCACATTATAAAATTCACCCATCTTAAAGTATAGAATTCACTGCTTTTCAGTATACCAATCATTATTAATTTTTTAACTTGTAAAATATATAACAGAATTTTCCATTTTAAATATTTGAAGTGTATAACTCAGTAGCATTCAATATATTCATGGTGATATGTCACCATCCCCACTGTTCATTTCCAGAACGTCATCATCTCAGTGACTATGTAACCAGTAAACAAGTCCCTTTCCCCCTCTTCCAGTCCCTTGTACCTCTGTCCTACTGGAAAGCATAATTTTTATTATTTCCAAAAAAAAAAAAAAAAAAGCTTAGGGCCTCAAAGAAGAGAACCCTGGGGCAGCGGAGGGTGGGGTGGGAGGGGGGTGGGTCTGGACTGCAAGAATGTGGTTCTTGGTGATGTTGATACTTGTTCCTGGAGACAGTTCCTTGACAGGGGCCGACGTGACCAAGTTCACCAAGCTGCACTGCTTCCCCCTGTTGGAAACAGCGCTCTTCTTCCTCATGTCCTGGAGTACCTTCCTCTTGGCGGAAGCCTGTGGGTTTACAGGTTGGTTTTCTCGGCTGTCGGGCCACTTTCCCCCTCGCCTGTGTGGGAGCTTGAGGGGAGGAAATATTCTCAACTAGCAGCTGCGCGTAGTTGATCAACTACCCATAAAGTGTCCTCAGGGAGGCTTTCTGAGCAAAGCTAGAGCTCTACCTTATGGGTAATCTAGTTTCCCAAAGCTGCACATGGGAATAGGTCTTATTGTTTCAAACTCAGTTATGTCTATGCGTGCTCATTCTCACAATGTAAATATTTAGCTACAAAAGTTATTGAATATATGAGTATCTCCTACACACAGTAGCAAAGCAAACTATATATATATATGTCCTATTAAAGGTAATTTTGCATTTGCTCAGATGAATATGAACACAGTTTTTCCTTGACTTGTCCTGGTCTGCTTTATCACTGTTTCTCACTACCATGTTTTATGGTGCCAGTTTGATACATTCTTGGTGTGAGTAATCGTGGTTTTAATTCCTCACATTCTCTCAGTAAGAAAGAAAGAATGACTAAATGTTTCCACTAGAAAACTCACATACAAGTACTCCACATAATCTGGGTAGTTAGGTAGTCTTCTCATCATCTTTTCAGAATATGGCAACATATCTTTATATGCAACATGATAAAATGCCCCAGGTCTGTCTACGTGGTTATCACTAACCAGAAATCTAGATCACCAGGGGTTGGAATAGTTAGTATTCAGGATCCATTTTGTCTGGAGCCTTAGACCATGTAAAAACATTGGTTTGAAATTAAATGTGGTCGTTCAAAGAAATGAGAGGATTATGACAAAAGCATATGACCGGCCCTCACAGTCTGTGAGGGAATGGATGCCAGAGGAAAATACAGATGGTAAATTCAATAGGAATTTAGGGGGTGGAGGGAAAGGGCACCCTTAAAGCTGGAAAAAGGGGGAGCACAGAGGATCTTGGCTTGGAGCAAGTGCAGGGTTGGAGGAAGGGAAGGCAGGGATTATGGGAGCTTTTGGTAATAAGAAGCTTTCAGGAGGTTGGTTGTGCTGGGGGTTTGCCTGTCTAAATTTTGTACCAGCAGGGCTTTTCCCCTGATTCGTTCTTTTTCATTGAGTATTAAAAATCTTTTGCCAGTTCAGCAATCAAAAAAGATAAACTCATGCCATTTACAGAAACATGGATGAAGCTATAAGGGATCATGCCCAGTGAAATAAGTCAGAAGGAAAAAGAAAAATATCAAATGCTTTCACTTATAGGAGGAATATAAGAGAACCAAATAAGACATGGGGGAGGGAAGTGTATTGTTTTTACGATACAAAAAACAGAGATATCCTACAGGGGAGGGGGACAGAGAGTGATCTGAAGGAGGGAAGGAGGAATGTGGGGAACTGTAGTGATGACTTGGGCGAATTGGGGAAGGGGAAGTAAGCGTTGTTTTAAAATGAACAATAATGTAAACAGATATATGAATTAATAAAAAATCTCTTGCCAGGCGTTGTAGCTGTCCTTTTCTGTGGAATCACACAAGCTCATTACACCTACAACAATCTGTCAGTGGAATCGAGAAGTCGAACTAAGCAGGTGAGAGAAAGCCCTTGGTTCTCACAAGCTACCTGTTCATACAAAGTCAGGGACCCACACGGTTCAATCCTTTCCCTTTCCATGCAGCTCTTTGAGGTGTTACACTTCCTGGCTGAGAACTTCATCTTCTCCTATATGGGCCTGGCACTATTTACCTTCCAGAAGCACGTTTTCAGCCCTGTTTTCATCATTGGAGCTTTTGTATCCTTTTGTTTGATGCCACCATTTTCTACATGGGAAGCTACCACTTCTGGGGAAGAATTTCTGTGTTGGATGGGTGACCAGCCAGTCCAAGTTGGTGGTATTTTTATGATGAGAAAAAGAAGCCGTAAATGGTTTGTAAAGCTAATGAATTTGATTGGTAAAGAATTGGCACTGATTCTAAGATTGTCATTTTTGCATTTTCTGTATAAGATAGCTGGTTCTACTGGTGCTTAGCAGGTGGTGTTTGTTTTCTAAAGCACTGTTCTTAGCAGATCTAAATGTCATCAACCATGTCAGTCACCAGAATTGTTTTTATTTCATTGTTGTATGGATTACAATCTGATGTTCAATATCCGAAGTTGTGCTGTTTTTGCTCTTGACCACACAACCTGTGTGGGGAGCCCAGCCTCGTGCCACCCAGAGAAGCCTGCTGGCAGGAAGCATACTTTATTTCACCTGAGCTTCTCAGCTGCTACAAATCATGTGTGGAGTAGACTCTCCCCACCCCACCCCACCCCACCCCCAAAAAAAGAGGAATGAAAAACGAAATGAGAAAGGAGAAGTACTTGTTTTCTTGATTTGGTCCCACGGGGAGTGCAGTTTTTGGAAGGGAAATGCTATTTGAGGGGCTGACTTCTCTCAAGAGAGGAAGGATATGAATGTCCAGCAGTGGACTGACAGCTGAGAGTTTTGTTCACTTAACCTCAGATGCTACTGTTGTTGTTAAAGTGAACTTTTCTGGGGCGTGGAACATCAGTGACCCAGCTCTGCCTGGATTTCAAAGACTGAATTCCCTGTTGCTGGGCATTCACTTCTGCCTTTTCTGCGGGCTCATGGATACCTTTTGGTCTTAGGATGCTGGGGAAATGGAGTTGGAATAATCCATCACCACCGAGGCACTAGATAGTGACGGTGACCTCGTGCTGTGCCAGAATTCCTTCCAGTTACTTTGTCAGCTGGGGCCCAGTTCCTGAATTTATATACTCAACAAACAGCCAAAAATCTATGGGTTCAATGTTTGTATTCTTGATTAAGAAAGCCCCCGCGTGTCATTTGATTTGCATTCCTGGCACAGCATCCTGTGAGAGATAGTGAGAGCTGAGCCCTGTTTACAGATGAGGGTCCTGTCCCTGCTCTGTGAATCCTGCTGCTGCTGACCACTTGCGGGCCTTTGCCTGGCTTCTGGGATAGACTGTGCCTTCTCAGCACTACCTGTTTCCTTCTGTTCAAAACAAAACAAAAAGGAAGACAAAAAAAAAAAAAAAAGAGAGAAGAAAAATCATCAGTGCTCTGCCCTGGAGAAAGCAGAGGGTGGTTCCGCCCCCACTCTGTCGCAAAACAGCTGCAGCTCTGGCAGCTGGTGCTTTGCCCAAGCGGAAGCGCTCTGCTCCTCTGGCTCCCACGGCAGTTTCCTCCTGTTAACAGAGGAACACGCAACTCTGAGGGCTCTGTTCTAAACTCGGCAAGTGACGAGTGAGCAGTTTCCCTGAATTCTTCCGTTTCCACAGCGGAGTTCCTCTTTGACACTCCTCCTTTTCTATTTCTTGCAAAACATTTTAGCCACTAAAGGAACAGAAATGTCCCTACATTGAGTCTTGTGTAGACTATGAATGTGGCTTAACATCAACTTTTCCCACCTCTCATTTGCAGGATCTTCCTAGTCATTTGGGCCCCGAATGTTTCTGCCAACTGAAGTCTATATGTTCTTACTCAGCAGACTTCATAGTTAGAGTCGGGGGTTAGTCATTTATTCTCCTTGTGCTTTTTCTTTCCATTGAGCCCAGCACACTATTTGCTTCTCTCAACGCCCTACCCCCTGTGTGGTACCATCTCTTATTCTAGACTCATTTTCAGCTCAACAGGAGAGGTGGTCATGCCAGTTTAGTTCATTTCAGACATGACAACAGTGTGCTTCACTGCTCGGAATTCTGTGTGAGCCAGGAGCTGGGAATGTTGGCCAACTGAATGCCATTTGGTGCCGAGACTTGTTTAGAGGGCATTTAGACAGCTTCTTGTGTGTGCTGCCATCTTGGTCAAAATGACATCTCCATGCCTTTGTAAAAGTCTCTGATCAAGCAGAGGCTGTGTGAAGATGCCGCTCTGGAAATCTGTTGTGCCCTTAACCTCCCCCGGTCAGGTCGCTATCTTCCTGGGCAGAGCTGCACACATCTACCCGCTCTCCTTCTTCCTCAACCTGGGAAGGAGGCATAAGATCGGTTGGAATTTTCAACACATGATGATGTTTTCAGGTAAAAAAAACTATAAATGTCAAGAAAACGAATTGTATTCAGTAGGCAGTATGATTAAAATATACTCAATAAGGTTGGTAAAAGGACAGAGTTCAAGTATCTGCAAAAATTTGAACATTTGCCTCTAAAATATTTGCATCTTTATTTCATCTCTACCAAACTGGGAACTTGGAGCCATGTAAGTATTTGAAATACTTGATTATTGTCTAGTAGATGTTCACAACCCTTATCTTCCAGACCTAAAATTAGCAGGAAAATAGGTCTTTTGCGAGAAATAATGTGGGCCAAGTCACTCAACACCTCCAAGCTGCAGTGTTCTCTTTTGTAAAATAATAACATTGAACTTATTAGTTGAAATCCCCCCTAACTCTTAACTCATGGCAAAATAAATAAGATACACTCCCATAAGGAAGAAAAAAAATCCAACCCAGAAGGCAGCAGCTGTGGAAGTTCTGTTTGACTTGTGTCCCTCTTCACTATAAAGCTGAAAAGTGTGGAGACACCACTGAGGGACAAAGGACAATAAAGCAGTATGTGGAGGTCAAGCAAGGAGAGTGCAAGTGGCTTGAGTAGTGATTTCCTCATGTAGTGCAGTAAGAGTGGAGCATCAAACAAGACCCAAGTGAGAGTAGAGCGGGGGTGGGGGAGTGAAAAGGCCACGATGACCTTAAAGCTACCCCTGTTGTTTGTGGGGGACTGGGCAGGACTGACAAGAGGCAAAGTGAGTAGCAGCCCTTTTCTGCCACACTGTTCCTTGGAGGCCTCAGAGAGTGATACTGAAAACACACCAACAGACACCTCCCCGCAAAGCTGTCGATTGGTCTAGTACTTGTTTGCATCAGGCTTAACCATGCAGCTGGCTGTAATGCTCTCCCTCCACTCTGAGGTGTCAAGCGGCCTCTCTGTTAGCTACAGTTCTCAGTTGTGGAGGGAGACCAGCTTCCTTCAAGGGGCTCACCATCCCCTAGGCAGAGACAGATGCCCAAGAGCTAACATTCTCTGGAGAGAGGGTAGCAAAATACACAAAAGAGGCTTGGAATGAACATGGAGGAGAACCAGGGGCCACACTCACATGGAGCGCAGCCCTTGAACTGGGCTGGAAAGGCTTGCAGCTTGAAATAGCAGCAGCCTGGAGAGGCAAGAAAACACCATCATGTGCCGTTTTCTGGGAAGGGAAGCAGACTGGAGTAAAGCAAAGAGGGTGTGCTTGGAAAGGAAAATTCCTCTGAATCGGTGTGACCCTTTGGGCTCTACAGAGTCACGAGTGGGCTGGTTAGAGTGGATTGCTGGGCCCCACTGCTGAGTGTGATTCGGAGGGAGGGGCGGGAGGACTTGCATTCTGCTATATTTCAGCTACTGCTGATTCTCTTGGTGGTTTGATAACCACTATTGTAGAGTGTAGACCACGGAGAAGTTCTAATGCTGGGCCTAAGAGTTTGGGCCTCACTTACAGAGCAGCTGGGAAACATCAGATGTTTCTGAGGAGGGCAATGATGTGACCCCCTTACTCATTAGGAAGATGTGGTAAAAAAAAGAAAAATTAGCAATAGCTCTGTCATCAAGATAAGCTATTTTCATTATCTTCTGCCATAAAAGACTGAAAGTACACCGTGCTCTTTAAAGATATTGCCTATAAAAATTATTTTCAGCTGGGAGAAATGGCAGAGGTGACACTTTCATAATGCTTACAGTGTTTGTCTAATAAAATAAAGAAGACTGGGCCGCACAACCCTCTCCGACCCCAAGTCCCCTTCTTTGAGACAACATCGCTTTAACGGCTTAAGTATTGAGCACTGGCAGCTGGCCACAGGGTGATGTAGGTGCGTGTAAATACTTCAGCAGGACAGAGGAGCAGAAAACAGCAACTTTGCTGTTGGACATTTATTGAGTCACTCTTCTCTAATGAATTGTAATGAGCCTATTAGATTAATGAATTGCAAAATTATTGGGAAGGTGGGAAAATGTCCAAACGTGGCCTAACTTTTCATTCCCTTACATGTGATTATGTCCATGGGGAATAGGAGCTTCTGCTAGATTTATATTAAAGGCCATGGCATCAGTCTTTGCTGTAGAACAGATTGTGAGTGTGATATGAGGAAACCACGAACAAGACTAAAAGATAAACTGTAAAACATTAAAATGTGGGTGTTAATCATAACAGCCATTAATGCAGATGGGGTGTGCCAATTCCAGCCCCAGGCCAAATGCTCTAGCCATCTTCATACATCCCGGGGCTGGGAACGGCTTTTCTAGGTGAATGTTTACAGTCGCTTGATGAGGGGACAAGACTCTGAAACCTAAGTGACATATCTCCTCCAGAATTACTTTCTTTTCATTAGTAGACCTGTATCACAGCCAATGGTACTTGGTTACATTACTGTTGGGTGTTGTCAGTAACAATTTGTCTTTTCTTCTTTTTTTCCCCTCATTATTTTTATTTCATTTGTGTTGATTTGTTTTTCTCTTTTATGTAAGTGATAGACTTGACTTGGCTCTTTACCCCCCAAAATCTAAAATATGTATTACGTGACCCTTGACAGAAAAAAAGTTGCCAACCTCTGATGTAGATCAGATATTGTTACTTCTCAGCTTTGCTTTCCCCTCTGCTAAGGAAATGGTGAACTGTTTTGTGGTCATGGTACAGCAACACAGACATGCATTTGACCGTTTATCTCTTACTTGTTTACAGTGAGTGTAATGTTTGAATCATAGACTTATATTATTTCTTCTTTCTATTTTTGTTTAGTTCAAGTTACTAACAGGAGAATTATTTCCATAATAAAAGAATGGTATTGCTGTAAACTGTGTTGTACAATGTAATGTTGTGTTTTCCTCATTGCATTTGGCATTTTTAAAAGTTTTCAAGTGCAAGGAAATCATTTTCTTTTAAGGTTCATCTTTCTGAATAAAACCACTTGACCCTTAGAGCATGAGTGGGTACAGTTCACGATCTCTATGTAAAGCAGAGGACTGGAAGGCATGCTGACCTTCTAACGGGGACATCTCCTTCTTTGGTCACTGCAGGTCTCCGGGGAGCAATGGCCTTTGCACTGGCCATCCGGGATACGGCCTCCTATGCACGCCAGATGATGTTCACCACCACCCTCCTCATCGTCTTCTTCACTGTCTGGATCATTGGCGGAGGCACGACACCCATGTTGTCCTGGCTTAACATTAGGTCAGTTGGAAACCAAAGCCACCTTGATATTTAACCATGTCACGTTCCCAAGCAGGGTGTGCTAGAGTTAGTGCATGGAAAATTCTCTACAATCTTTTGTTTTTGGGGAAAGGTTAACAATAAAAATGATTCAGTGTATCAAATTTTCTGGGAGAAAAAATATTGTCATTAACATTCCTGATGGTTTAAAAACATGAGGAATTATAAACACCTCAACCCTGTGAGAGCAGTGACATTATGTCAAGAATTCAAAAAGTCTTAAAGCTGTAGGAGAGAGAACAGACCTACTGTCATGTTCCTTTGAAATCACACCTAAGGGCTTTAAAGTATGTTTATCAGCCAGAAATAAAAAGAGGTGATTAGAGTTCTGTTCTAGGAGGAAACCGTATGCTGTTTCTCTTCTAGTTGGCGTGTGCAGGAGAGGTGATGCTTCCTGTGTAACCCTCCTTTGTTGTAATACAACAGACATCCCCCATCTTTGGTTTTGCAACCATGTCACGATGAAGGATCACTGACCTGAGCTTGAAAACATTTGGATTTCAAGCTGTGCTTATGAATTCTAGGACCTTATGGTACGGAGGGTATTAGAACAGCGGTCAAGAGACCTACAGCCTGTCTGTCTGGCTCTGTTGAAGGCAGGCCCCTCATCTCTTTGGGCCTGTTTTTCTCAGTATTAAAATGAAGGTGCTCTTTCAGATTTTCTTCAAGTCTCTTATAATCTGAGGGTGCATTTTGCACCACTGGAGCTGCTCCCCCCTCTGCCAGGATTTCAGGTCTGTCTAGGGCAGATATGACAGGAACCAGAGGACTCTGGGGGTGTGCCTTACATAGATGTAAGGAAGAATTCTCTGGAAAGCCACAAGGTGGCAATGTTTTTTCCCTTCCTCTGCTGGCTTTCAATTTATATTCATTTTTCTAAGACGGTAGACTACAGAGGATGAACAGCTGCAGGGCTAATCTAGCTGGGAGGAATGAAAGCAAACAAGGGGTAGGTGGTCATCTGTGGAGCCAGGGAGAAACTGGAATTTGAGAGAATTGTCTTCTCAATCTGGGACTTTTGTACGGATGGTAGGCAGGGATTGGAATTCTTGGCTGGGAGCTCAGCCAGCAGCACTATTTGTGTCTCCCAGATAGCCTCACAAGCAGGTGTACTCTGCAAGACCTGAGTACAGCTGATCAGCAACAGTCATGTTCCAGCTAACACCCATGCCACAGGTGTGGTTTGAGACACCATACATAGGGTACAATAATCCTTATAGCCTTCCTATAAGGGAGCTACAGCTAATATCGTTATTTTAGAGCCAGGGAAACTGAGCCATAGAGTAATAACTTGTCCACAGTCACAGAACTTTCGGCGGACAAGTTGGCACTTGAACCCAGTCAGTCTTGTCAGAGTTCACACACTTTCACCACTGTGCTGTACCACCTTCGAAGGACTATTTTCATGTTGTAAAATTTGGGATGGTTGGAATTTCAAATTTCTTGCATGAATCTCAAGACTTTTATTAAGGAAAACAATTCATCCGTGGGAATATAAACCCAAAGAAGAAAGTTTACAGAGTTAGTTTTGGCCTTAAACTTGTGGCACAGCATGGTGCCATCTATGGTCTGCGTAGCAGAATGAGAGCAAGGAAGGGGCTTTACCTGCACACAGTTGAGAACATTTGCATTCAGTGAGCTGTGAGATTATTTCCTGTTCCTCTTTATCTGTCACCGAGAGGTGCTGTGCATGTTCAGAGCCTGATTTAATCATGCTTGGTTTTCATACTATTTTGTAAGTCTCTTTTGTCCCTCCCCTCACCCCCAACATGTGCAAGCCAAAATAATTTTCCATTTCTTTTTAAACACTGAGCCATTGAAAAGTGGTCCTGTGCAGAGCTGAAAGCACAGGCAGCACAGGAGCTGTGTCTGGATGGGTATAATGGTATCAACTGACGAGCTGTGACAAATCATACTTAGAACAGAAGCCGCTACATAGCAAGGGGTTAGGAAATGACTGTGTGAGATCCAGCAGCCCCGCCGGCATTTCGTAAATTTTTCATTTCAACTATTTTAACAGGTGTGGGGGCACCCCCAGTGTAGTCTTCATTTTCATTTCTCTCATGCTGGTGATGTTGAGCACTTCTTTATGTACTTCTGTGCCATTCATGTCTTTGATGAAATATCTGTACAAGTCTCATGTCCGTTTTCTAATTGGATTGTCGGGGTTTTGTTTTTTTTTTTTTTTTTTTTTTGAGTTTTGATAGTTATTCTGGATAATAGTCTTTTTTTTTTTTTTTCAGATAAGTGGCTTACAAATAGCTTCTCCAGTCTAGCTTTTTTTTTTTTTTTAAAGATTTATTTATTTATTTCTTCATACAGAACTGGGGTACAGGCCAGAGATGTGGAGGGTAAGAGGATTCACCAGAGACAGAGTAGGGAGCAGAACAGGCAGATGGACAAAGTACACTGCTGAGGGGAGCAGCGGGCGGGTCAGGAGAGGTCTGCCACGCCATGTGGATCTCCTCCGGGGCAGGTGGGGATCGAACTCATGTGGAAGTGGCTTAAGCTTCTTAGTGCTGTGCTTTAACCTGCTGCGCCACCAGGGAGGGCCTGTAGCTTATTTTTAAAAGCCTGTTAGCAGAGTTTGTCAGAGGAGAAGTTTTCACTTTGATGAATTACAAGTTAGCATTTTTTCCTCTTGTGGATTGTGCTTCTGATGACATGTTTAAGGACATTTCAAGCCCCAAGGTCCTGAAGGTTTTCTTCTAAAAGTTTTCTAGTTTTACACTTTACCTTTAGGTCTGTTATCCATTTGGAGTCAATATAGGGGGTGTGGTTTAGCTTGGACTTTTATGTTATTTGCCTATGACTTTCTAGTTGTTTCAGAACATTTTGTTAAAAAGATTATCCTAACCCCGCTGACCTACGTTTTCTCCTTTGCCAAAAATCAATCGATTGTACATATGTGGGTCTGTTTCTGTTCTGCTCCTTCGGCCGATGTGTCTGTCTCTGCACCAGCACCATGTTCTCCCAGCAGCCTTTGCGTGAGCTCTAGCATCAGGTAGAGCAAGTGCTCCCACTTTATTCTTCTTTTCCAAAATTGTTATAACTATTCTACTTCCCTTCCATGTGCATTTTGGAATAAACTTGTCTGTATCTGAAAAAAAAATCTTGCTGGTATTTTCATAGGAATTGGGTTAAACTTAGGGAAAATTGACATTTTTACTCTGTTGAGTCTGCCAATGCATAAAGACGGCACGTTTCTTCATTTATTCATATCCTTGGTTTTGTTAATTAATATTTTACAGCTTTCAGCATATAGTATCTGTGTTTTGCTAGATTTACATTTAAGTATGTCTTCTTTTTTGAGCAATTATACATGTTATTCTGTCTTTAATTTCAGTTTCCATGTGCTCAGTGCTAGAATATAGAAGTACAATTGCTTTTTGATGCTAATCTTGTATGCTCTGACGTTGCTAAATTCTCACATATTAGTTCTAGGCATGCTTTTGGTTTTGAGATGCTTTGGGATTTTCTTTTTTAAAAAAAGATTTATTTATTTATGCTATCTAAGAACTGGGGTACAGGCCAGAGGTGCAGAGGGTGAGAAGATTCATGAGACAGAGTGGGGAGCAGGACAGGAGGATGTACTGAAATACACTGCTGAGGGGAGCAGTGGAGAGACAGGAGAGGTCTGCTGCGCCGTGTGGGTCAGCTCCCTGGCTGGGGATCAAACTCTGCTGCAGTGGCTGCGGACAGCTTCATAGTGTCATAGTGCTATGCCTTAACATCTTGCAGCACCAGGGAGACCCACTTTGGGATTTTCTATATACATATATTGTTGGGTCATTTGCAGACAGACATAGCTTTATTTCTTCCTGTTCAGCCAGTGATCCTTTCATTGCTTTTTCTTTACCTATTGCTCTTGCTAGGACTTTCAGTACTATGTTAAATAAGGGTGATTGAGTGAACACCTTGTCTTGTTCCTGATCTTAATGGAAAAACATTCAGTCTTCACTAGTAAGCATGATGTTAGCTATAGGTCTTTATGATTTTTATTATCAAGTTCAATACATTCCTATTTATTGCTAGTTTTCTGAGAATTTTTAATAATAAGCAGATGTTGCATTTTATCAGATGCTTTTTTTCTGGATCCATTAACATGATCATATGATTTCCTTCTTGTTTAGTTTGTTAATATGGTTTAGCTAATAATTTTCAAATGCTGAACCAGCTTGCTTCTCTAAAATAAGCCCCACTTGGCGGTAATGTAAATTGTTTATGTATTGCTGAATTCTTATAGCTAGTATTTTGTTTAAAGAAAATTCTTGTGTCAGTGGACATGAAGGATATATAGTAAGTAGTTTTCTTTTTTGTACTGCCTTTGTTTTTTTTTTTGGTATCAGTGTTATCATTAGGTCTCTCAGTATGAATTGATTCATGTCCCCTATTCTCCTGTTTTTAGTAGTTATTGTGTAGAAATGGAATAAATCGTTGAAAAAAAATTGTGAATTCTCCAGTGAAACTACAGTCCTGGATGAAGCCAATTTTTAAGGTAGTTACGGGACTTATTAAGATAATCTGTTTGACATTGGGTGAGTTTGGAAGGTAATTTATGAAGTTGATCCATTTCATCTAAGTTGTTAGTTTATGTTATTTGTAGTGTTTCCTTATACTTTTGATGTCTGTGAGAGCTATAGGGATAAGTCTTGTTTTATTCCTGATATTGGTAATTTGCATGTTCTTCATATCTTTTAGTCTGGCTAGAGATTTGTAAAGTACAGTGATGTTTTTCAAAGAACTAGCTTTTTTCCCCTGATTTTTCTGTTTTCAATTTCATTGTTTTCTGCTCCTATCTTTAATATTTCCTTCTTTTTGTCCCACTCTACCCAGACAGCATAATGAAGCAAAATGGGCCATTAGTAAAAGTATATATGGTGTCCATTCATTGCATTTTTTCCAGATGTGTATAAATAGTAGTCATGTAAGTTAGAAACTGACATTTATAGAGATGACATTAAAAGAAATGCCCTTTGAGATAAGATAATGAGACCAGTAGAATTTCTGGCTTGTGGTTTTTGGTGTTAATTGTCATGAGTCATTTATATGAGCCAGGTTGTTGTTCTAAATTGGTGGAGAAACCCCCTGAACTTCAGTGTGGTGTTTTGACCTCTGTGATATCACTAAGTCCCTCTGCCAGTACTTGTTCCTTATTTTTCTAGGCGACGGAGAGACTCTCATGAGCTAGCTGCTGAAGGCCTGCTCAGGAGTTAGAAACAAGGGCAGTCCCACTGCATACAGCGAGGAGTTAGCAATGGTTTTCCTATGGCTAATTTAAAATCTGTGTATAAAATAAAAATGAATATAATCACATATTCTAAACCAGGTCACATTGCTTTCCACAAATTCAACTTATTTTTATGAACTGGCATTTTGTGATTGAAATTTTAAAACATCATAGCAAATTGCTTAGATTGTTTTCTGCTAATGCACATGCCTGTTTTTCTCCTAGTCTTTTGAACTAATGTTATTCATAAAGAACATAATTTCAGCAGCTTAAAAATAATAATGATGGGATTTCTTCAGCAGATGAGACTCCTATGTATATGTCCTGAGAACATTTCAGCAGCAAGGTGGCTATCTTCTTAGAGACCCCAGTTAAGAGTGCCACTCACATGAAGTGGTGGTGATAGTGGGTGGGCGGTGTGTGTGTCTGTGGGTGGGTAACCTTTATTCTCTAGGGTGCAGTAATGCAATCACTCAAGGACAGATAAGGGCCCTCTGTTCAGTATAATCCTATTAGACTGAGAATTTCCAATAAAGCTCTTTGTAGGATAACAAATAAAGGCAGGGAGAAACCCTGAGCATTTTAGGTAATCGAATTTGTAACTGGATATTTTAAGAGTTTAAAAGTCCCACCTTGTGATCAAAGGCAGTGTCCCACAGGGTAAAAAGCTGGGGCTCTGGGATGTAACAGCATCAGTTGTGAACTTGGTTCTACCATTTTTTACCTTTGTAACGTTGGTCAACTTATTTAATCTCTCTAACTCGGTTTCCTCACCGATCAAATGCGGGTGATGATAATGTGAATATAAAATGTGAGAGTAAGTTTGCTAAAAATTCCCTCACCTCTATCTGGCACATGGTAATTAAGCATTTAGTGTACTTTAACAGTTATGCTATTGTCACTCATCATAACATTACTAGCTACCATTACTATTATTATTACTAGTGAGTCTTACATTAAAAGGAATATAGTTTGCTTTACTGGAATGTGTTACCATTTTTCAGTACTATAGTAATATCAAGAGTCCGGTTTAAGTCATATTTAGAAGGTGTGACTAATTAAAATACAGCCCTATGAAGCATCACATGAGTAGCTTGAGAATTTAAGCACTGTCTAACATGGTGTTTCTCTACTTATATTTCATTAACACACCCCGAAAAACCTTTAAAAAGTTTTTTTCCTTATTTCTCCCAGTGAAATGCACATAACTAGCTTTCTGTTTTTGTACGATGGTGTTTTAGAGGACTACAGAGTACTATAACATTGACATTTTTTGACCCACAGACCCAATTTCACACCCATGTCAATAATAACACCCCCCACTGAGAACATGTGATTACGTACAGTGGTTTTCAATTGAGGTCAAGTTTGGCCACCCGGGGACAGTTGGCAGTCTGGAGACATTTTGGGTTGCCTCACCTGGGTGAGGGCGTTGTTACTGCTATCTTATCAAAATGTCAGTAGTACCACGGTTGTAAAACTTCTCTTGGTATGATGGTGAAGTTGAAATCACTCTGAATAAGCTAGCATTTATTAAGGAAGGGGTAAGTGGACCATGTCAATTCTAAGGCCATGAAGTAAAGAAAATAGCAGTTCTGTTCACAACCTTCATGTTGAGCTCCTGGACTTGTCTAGGAAAAAATGACTATCTTCTTAAGTGTTGTTGCCATTTTCAATAACATAGTGCTTTTTGCTGTTTCTGTCAAATGTGTATTAAAAATGTGTAAGCACTTCAAATATTTGTTCAATAACAACTTTGTGTTGTCAATGTTTGTGTGGATGTACCTTGCTTTATGAAACAAATGGACTTCTGAAAAATTGTGTATATTTTACATGAGTTGAATTTATTCCTCACATTTCATTACCTTATATCTTGAGAGGTTTATTATCATTCTGAACTGATCCTCATCTGACCTGGCTTTCTAACATTGTTGCTTTAAATTTAAATTTAGCAGCCTCTCTGGGTTTTAGAGAATGGGGACAGTGTAAGAGAAAATACCGATTGACGTTTAAAGTGAGACGGCCTGTTCTTTGGTGGATGTGATCCAGGTCATGGCCCAGAGCTCCTGGCTCCCTGTTATCCCCATCACACTCACGTTCCCTTCTTCTGCTGCCCAGAGTTGGCGTCGAGGAGCCCTCTGAAGAGGACCAGAGTGAACACCGCTGGCAGTACTTCAGGTGACACAAGGGCATCCTCAAAACAAATTAACCAGGCCTGATTTTTCTTTCTAACCTGAGGCGTTTCCCTTTCTGCTGTCTGTCGATTCCTTCTGTGTGCTGATCCCCTGCCTCCTTCACCAGAATCACAAGTGCTAGGTCAAATTGCATCGTTTCAGCCCTCTCTCTGAGTTGATTGGGACACCAGTGTCAGGAGGTCGAGTCCCCTCTCCCTGCATTTCTGACAGTGTGATGTCCCCACTAAAGCTGGAGAGCGCAAGTGCTGCCTCTTCGTACAGTTGGGTTTAGTGTTCAGAGAAGACCATATTCAGAGCTACCGGTTCTTGTTTCATAAAATCCCGTTTATGGCCTAGTAAATAGGGCTCATAATTTATAAAGAGAACTAGAATTCTTTATTTCAGCCATGACGGGGGTATGGCTTATGATATCTTTTTAGGTATGTATTCGTGAACTTTTACTTTATCACAGTGAAGCAGAAGATTAAAAAACATACTTTTTTTTTTTAAATCACAGGATAGACTCCTCTCAATATCCATTCAAGTTTATAATTTGACTGTGCTGCAGAAAGACATTATTAGGCAATCAGTGAAAGACTTTCTTGTTCTTTCCTTCCTGTATCTTTAGTCAGCAAGCTTTCTTTCTCATTCTCAGTGCTGGCAAGATAGGTCAATATAGACTTGAATTCTGTTGTTAACATTGTAAAACTATTTTACTAGGAGGCCTGGAAAGAAAGCAGTGATACCCGCCATGGGACATGGATTGTGACATTATTACTAGGCCCCTGATCTGTACTGTGATGATAAGCATAAAATTAACCAAAGGATTTGAGGCCCCTAGGTTCAGACCTTTTCTACTGTTTAAATTGTGTGTGTGTGTTTGTTTACATGGACATTCGCTTAAACACACACACACACACACACTCAGACACAGAGTTAGACAGCTCATTTCGGAGATCTGATTTGATTTTAGGTATGTTGGCTATATTTTTGGCTATGTTGCAGAGGAAGGCATTTCTTTGAAATATCCTTCCTTTAATAACAGCCCTTCAGGTAAAGTACAAGTTATTATACTTGAGACATGAGTGAATTCAAATTATGGTCTTATGGTTAAAGGTTATACTTCAAAAATTTCTGTGAGTTCAATGCATTTTATATGGTGCTTACTCGATATATATATATA